CTCTCTCTCTCTCTCTCTCTCTCTCTCTGGTCTTGCTATGTTGTTCAGGCCATTGTTGAGCTCACTGGCCCAGGATGGACTTGATCTTGCAGCCATCTTCCTGCTTCAACCTCCCAGGCACTTGGAGTATAGGCCTGGGCCATGTCCAGGTAGTAAGACTGTCTTTATGATCACGTTTTCTTGTGTGTGTCTCCCATAGGTCCGCATGTTGATTGCAGCGCCAAGGAATTCAAATGGGGAACACCTCAGTGCCTTGTTCCTTCTACGTACATACATACATATGTACATACGTATGCATGTATCTGGTGCAGGGTCTCACTACGCAGCTTGGACTCTTAGTGGTCCTCCTGTTTTTAGCCCCCAGCGCTGGGGCTGGGACGCACCACCATGCCTGGACTTGTTTGCCCCAGGGGTGGGGCTGGTGTGGCATTTGGGACTGGGGATGGAACCCTGGTCCCCTGTGCTTGCCAAAGCAGGTGCTCAGTCTGCTGAGCTATCTCATTGCCCTTGTTTCTTCTATTTATTTATTTATTTATTTATTTATTTATTTAAAATTAACTTTATTGAGAAACAAAGAGCAGTGAGACAGTTTTAAAACAGTTAGTAGGACAGTTACAATAATTAATATATGTATATTGTTGTCTTCATAGTAGTTATTCATAGTACAAGATGCAGACATGATATCCTGTCCACAAACACTATTAATGTTTCTTCTATTTAAAAAGGCTCACCACACACCCTTTTTGCTCCAAAGCTTGCACTGCCATGGAAGCCTGCAATGAGGGACACTGGTGGTTGAATGTAGGTCTTTGGACATACCCTGTCCCAAATCCTACCTATTGCACTTGTATCATGTGGGCAGATGCTGTAAAACTGGCATTCTAGGTCAGCAACAAGGCATGGCAAAGGTACTGTGCTTTAGAGAGAAATAAGAGAAAGGATTATCTCCAACATTCCTCAGACCAGCTATGTAAACTGCCACCTGCCAAGAGGAAATGCCATCTGTGAGGCAGTCTGAACGGAGACCCGGTGCACAGGGTAAATAGGCTGCAGAGAGCACTTTCATCTTGTCTGGGCTACAACATCAATCTATTTGGTGGGAAGGAGCGGACACCTACATTCTACTATGGCCTCACAACTGCAGGCTCTGGGTAAGCAGGCAGTCTAGCCGGGCCTGTTCCAGAGCAGTGAAACATTCTCATGGTTGACTATCCTGGACTGGGCTAAAGGCTTCCAGCAACCCAGAGGAAATGAAGGTCACTTCATTTACTCGTATAAGTTTCTTTTCTTTTTTTTCTAAGACAGGCTCTCACTGTGTAGCCCTGGTTGCCCTCAAACTTGCAGCCATTCTCCTATCTCCGCCCACTCAGTGCTGGGATTACAGGCATGCAACACCACACCTGGCCTCCAGAAACTTCTAAAAGCAGTTTATGGCTGTATAATATCTCCACTTTGCTTTTAGCCCGGCATTTTAATGAGTCCTGCATGCTGTTTAAACACTGAACTTGCATACTAGTCCTTGGATTTTTGTAAGATACACTCATCATCTTTGGTTACAACATAGTCTTTTTCTCATAGTAAAATAATCCTTTGTTGTTAAAAGCAATGAATCAGGGAAACTGACTCATGACCAGGAGCAAAGGGAAGCAATATGCTCCCCTGGGATATGAAGGGTTTGTCTACGGCTAAGTGGTAGATTCTACCCCCAAGTAAACCATCAAATTGTGCCTTTTCCTCTAAGTGAGGAAAAAGGAAACACTGACCTCTTATCTCTCTTCTTCCCAGACTGACCATGCCAGTCAAGCTAGTCTATAGGATTCTGTGGGCCCAGGCACAAAAGAAAGACATTTACCAAGGCATTGTTCCTCCATGAGTTCCTCCATGAAGTTCAGAAAACAGCATATAAGGCCTCATGTTTTCTGTTTATAGCCATAAGTTTTACATAAGCCCGCAATTTGACACACATTGCTCTTGACCAATGAGTTGGAAGGCAATGTTAATGCAATGTGTTTACCAAGTGCCAGACAGAGTGCAGAGCGTGTCTTGCTCTAAAAGCAGTGATGGCCAACCTTTTAGAGCTTTTAATGATAACAGTTAGCTGCAAATGGGCGCTAGGTTCACCACCACTGGCTGGAAGGTTCACACTACAAGGGCTTCTCTCTCAGGATGCAGGCCAAGTGCTATGCCAAGCGCATGGACAAGGAAGACAAGCTTTCCCCAGTGCTCTTTTTCAGGGAATCTTGACCATCAGGCAAAGATGTAGAAGGGCATTGTGAGACAAAATGTCAAGAAGGTGGTACCAATATTCACAAGAATGAGGGCGGGCTTAGGACAGACAGGCAAGTCTTGGCACAACTACTGGCCAGCACCACTAACCAGGCAAGCATTTTCTCAACTTCCCTGTAAGAAACCACTTCTCTGGGTCAACTTTCATTCCCAGTCCAGGCTCTGGAACCCTGAGAACTCCTCTACCTAGCCTAGTGGCACTTTCTAGTACACAGTTTCTCTTCAGCAAATAGGAGGAGCAAACAATTCAGAAATCATAATTCTTTCTATTCCCAGGGTCTCACTCTGTAGCTCTGTAGTTCAGTCTGGCTCTGCATTCACTATGTAGCCCATGCTGGCCTCAAACTCAGGGTGATCCTCCTGTCTCAGCTTCCTGGATGCTGGGATTATAAGTGTGTGTCACCATGTCCAGAAAAGTAACAATTCCCAAAAGCATCTTTCCCTATCATTTTTTTCTCTCTCTCCCTCTCCCCCCCCACTTTCCTTCTCCCCCTGCCCCAAGTGGACAACAACAGCTCTTTCAATGACCCTTTTTTCTGTCTATTTCCAGAAAAATAGGGGATTTTTTCATAGCCTCAAACACTCTAATACATCATTCACACTTGCTGGCCAACTTCCAGTACTTTACTGGCTGGCTGTTACTCCACATGGACTTGGCTTCAGCTGTTACCTGTCCATTTAAATAGTCTTGTGGAGGTAACTAGCATCCTTTACATCTATAAAGCCAATGAATGGGCTTTCTTCTCGCTCCTTGAGGTCTCTGCAACATTAAACCTGAACCTTCTCTTTCCTCAGTGTATGAATCAATGCTTTTTCTTTCTTTTCCTTTTGGTGTTCTGGACTTTCCACTTTTCTCCACATCCTTGGCCTTCTGATCTTTTTACTTCTACACCTGGGAACTTGCTAACTATGTTTCATGCCCTTAGCTTTGACCATGACTTCCAAATATGTAACCTAGGAAGAGACAGCCCTCCGTTTATCCTAGACCTACTTTCTTTTTTTTGGGCCAACTCAGACCGCCCTGAAGGCAGGGCTGGTGCAGCATGTGGTGTCAAGGAGGGAACCACATTCCCCTGTGCCTGCCTAAGCTTGCCTAAGCAGGCACTTTAGACCGCTGGGCTATCTCACCAGCCACTAGACCCATTTTCTTTTCTTTTTTTTTTTTTCTTTTCAAAGTTTTATTGATAAACATATAGCAATGAGACAGTTTCATATCGAATCGAAAGTACAGTTTCAACAAATAATACACTGCACATATTCTTCTTAGTGGTTAATTGCTGTACAAGATGCAGACTTGTGATCCTACTTACAAACACCATTAGAAAAAATCATTCTATTCATTAAGAGAATGCAACTATATATCTAGACCCATTTTCAAGGACAGGTACTGCCAACCTTCCCGGTGTTCAAAGTTGGAAACCTAGGAGTCATCAGTGCCTCTTTTTCCAGCTCATGCCCCACATCTAGTCTTTTACCAGATCCTGATCTACATGGTGATGCTGTGGACAGACCCAGGTAATCTTCATTCTACTCTGCTTCTGGGGTACAGAATATGGAAATTAAAAGGTGTTTCTAAAAGCTAGCCCCTGGTATGGCAGTCCAATATACACATTTTTTCCCTAAGCGACCAGCTTTCTGCCCTGGTCAGCACTCAGCTTAGCTGTTTCTCAAGACAACATCACTGGTATGCTGCTGTCTCTGCTCCCTGCAGACAAGCAAAGGAATCAATAGGACACAACTGTTCTGAGGACAAGAAATTGTTTTCTTGTTCTTCCATCAGATTTCTACTTGCTGGGCTGCCTCAGAAAAGTCCAGCCTCCAGGCCAAGCTTCTGATAACAATGAGCATTTCATCACCACTGCAGGGGACTTACAATTTATTCTAGATCTCTAGGTGTCATAGATTATATGACTAGAAAGTACAGCTTCCAGGATTACTAGGTAGAAGGACAATGGAAGGTTGAGCACAACCTGCAGGCTGGGAGGATTTTACTAATGTTCTCAAGGAGGCGTGGAAAATTCCAGTGTGTATCGGGGGGAGTATTGAGGACATAGGCCTTGATGGGCCAAACCCCATACTCTTGGGACAGATGTCTATCAACAGCTTGCTGATAGGACAAATAAGCTTGCTAAGAGCACAGGAATACCTTCTGAGCCCACTTACTATGGGCTGCAAGGCCAGAGCAGACTTGAGCTCAGGAGTGGTACTGCTGTGGCAGTTTATGTCATTAAAAGATAAGCTCTTGGAAGAAATCTGACTATCAAATCTGACAGAGGAAATAATACATCAAAGTCTCCCCTGGGCCAATTTTGTTTGCTTTAGATTTCAGAACAGCAGCAGCATGGAGAGGTCTAGTGTACCTGAATAGAAAGTGAAAGGCATGCAGGTGGGCAGAAAATCATATCACATACCTTGTGAACACTGGTCAAGACACTTTGGGAAGAGGAATCTAGGGTGGAAAGAAAAGAGAGAAGTACATTAAAGCCACATCCCAGAAGTGGCACTATTTCCCACAAAAATGTGGCTCAGTGTGAAAGCCGTAGGTTCAACTGAATGCCGCACTCTGCTTTCTTTTTAGTCATAGTTCCTATAACCATCACTCTAACCCATGTATGTGCCATGAGCTAAGCAACAAAGCACTTGTTTTGCAACTGAGCATTAGTAAATCACTGTAGTCCATCATTTTGTGGAGAGAATTCAGAAATAATTTCTCATTAATACCTGAAACATGAAAATGTTACCAACTATGACTGATTTTGTTTTTTTTTTTTAATTTTATTTATTTATTTATGTGTGTGTGTGTGTGTGTGTGTGTGTGGCCAGCTCAGCCCACCAGGGGGCGGGGTTGGCTGGCATGTGGTGCTGGGGATTGAACCGCGGTCCCTGTGCTTTGCTAAGCTTGTTCTAAGTAGGTGCTTTAGACCACTGAGCCATCTCACCAGCCCTGATTTTGGTTTTTTGAAACAGGGACTACATAGCTGTAGCCCAGGCTGGCCTCTGACTTACGTGACCCTCCTGCCTCAGCCTCAAGAGTGTTGGAATTACAAATGGGTACCACCACACCTGGCTACTAACTTTGATTTACTGAATTAATATTTCTGATGGCTCAATTTGAAAAATGAGGAAATACACATATTCATACTTCTTACTAATCACCCCTGATTCCCGTCTCTTACACACACACACACACACACACACACACACACACACACACACACACATTTGTATGTGTTTTTGAGGCAGGGTCTCACTATGCAGTTCAGACCACCTCAAACTTGAGTTGATCCTCCTGCCTCAGCCTCCCAAGTGCTGGAATTACAGGTGTGTGCCACCATGCTCAGCTTACTGTTTATATTTTTGTATTCCATAAACTATATTTACCTAATTACTTTTCTCAGGACTCTGCACCTGCCAAGCAGGCACTTGTGTCACTGAGCTATGTCCCCTGCACCATATTTCTTTGATTAATAAATTATTCAGTCCTTTTTACATCTTATTTATTTAAAACATCTTGCCAGCCGTGGTGGCATACACCTATGGTCTCGGCACACAGGAGGATGGCCATGAGTTCAGGCTTGCCTGGACTACACAGAGAGTTCAAGACCAACCTGAAGTATATATTGAGACCCCTGTCTCAAAACAAAAAAAAAAAACCAATCCAAAAAAACCCCATCTTCAGCCAAGAGTGGTGGCACACACGCTTCATCCCAGTACTCAGGAGGCAGAGGCAGGAGAACTGCTGTGAGTTTGAGGCCAGCCTGAATTACACAATGAGATCTTGCTTCAACAAACACACAAGCATAATTAGGAATTCAAAGCAACACACAGACACACACACACACACATCCCCTAACCAAAAAACCACCAAGAAAGTAAACTGAGGACACTTAATACACACAGGTTGGAGTAGCTATGAATTCAAAAGATATGTCTTCCCTCCCTTCCTTTTTCTCCCTCTTTCTCTTTTCCTCCCTCCCTCCCTCCCTCCTCTTTTCCTCCCTCTCTCATTCTCTCTTTCCATCCCTTTCTCTTTTTTTCTGAAGCTTTGGGATTCAACCCAGGCCTTTGTATGGATGCCAGAAAACTCCTTTACTACTGGCCTACATCCCCATAATCGCTTACTACATACTAAACAGAAATGGTTCCTCGTTGGGCATGGTGGCACATGCCTGTAATCCCATCACTCTGGGAAACTGAGGCAGGAGGATGGCAAGTTTGAGTTCAGCCTAGGCAACTCAGTGACTTTGCAGGAGCCTGTCTCAAAATACAAAAATAATACAGAGCTGGAAGTACAGTTTAATAAGAACCTGGGTTTAATCCCCAGTACTGTGCACACGTACACACATACACACACACAAAGGAAAGGTTTCTGACCTCATACAAGCCAAGTCTATTTCCCTAGTTCCTCTTTTCTTATTGGCTTTGGGTCTTTTGGGGAGCCAGAGCTAATCAAAGAATAACAGAACACTTAGTACACACACAAGGTAGAGAGTTGCATTGCTAAAGGCAAACATGCATTAAGATGTGCCTCCTGGTGGGTAGCAAACAAAATCTCTTTCCTGAATGTACGTGAACACAGCACATGCTGGGGTTGGAGATGGTCAGAAGCACCTACCTGTGTTCCATGTAGCAGCTTAGAGGGTCCACACACACTGTGACAGCACCGATGGTGAAGGAAGACCTGACATCTGCATCCGGATGGGTCTGCAGGGCCTGTACAACATCAATCATATCCGTGTAGCTGAGGAGGAGAGACAGTGATTATTCTGGCTGGGGCTCCAGTGTGGGAGAAGAAGAGAGTGCTGAGAGGTCGAGTAAGCAAGGGCAGAAGGAAGATCAAGAGGAGGAAGAGCCTGTGATTGGGTGGGTGGTTTTTTTTCTTCCTTCCTTCTATAGGGTCTCAGAAATTAATTAATTATTGGTCGACTGATTGCCTTTTTGAGACAGAGTTTCACTATGCATTTCAGGCTGGCCTTGAGCTCATTTTGCTGCCCAGGCTGGCCTCAAACTCAGTGATTCTCCTATCTTAGCATCCCCAGTGCTGGGATTATAGGCATATACCACTATGCCCAGCAATTTATTTGTTTTTTGGACAGGGTCTCACAATGTAGTTCAGGCTGGCCTTGAGCTCACTGTGTAGCCTAGGGTAGCCCTGAACTTGAAGTGATCCTCCTGTCTCAGACCCCTGCCCCCCTGCTGGGATCACAGGTGTGCGCCACCATACCCTTGTGAATGGGTTTTTTTGGTGTGATTTGACATCCTGAATCTAAAAAGTGTATCTGCATCTCTAAGTTGCTAATTCTTAAAACTGTGCATGGGTGAATAGAAAGCTAGTTTACTCTAGAGGTAAAAGGAAGCCTGCAGGTGACTCTGGGGCTCTGAGGATGCAATTCAGTGTCCCTGGCCTGTTGTGTATTCATCATGTGATTGGTGTCTATTTTTCTTCATAGCTCTTTGTTCTCCTTCCTACCTCCCCACAGCATCAGAACTGTACAAGTCAACAGACACAGGTCGACACTACTCACATTCCTGTCTTCTGCCTGCAGCTCCAGACTTATAGAGCCAATCCTATATTTTCACTTAGAACCTAGTGTGTTCACAACCAAATGCCCACAAGCCTGCTTCTTCCATGGCCTTGTTTTTTCTTTTTTTGGCGGAACCGGGGATTGAACTTAGCCCTTGGCACTTGCCAGGGAACTTGTTTTTTCTTAACGGGAAAGACAATACCTTTTTAGATGCTATCCCAAAAGTTTTGTTTGGGGTCTTCATTGACTTCAATTTTTTTTTTTTTTTTTTTTTTTAAATCTTAAACATACAATTGAAAAGATCATTGCTCACACTCCCCCAACTACTGCTGGGTCCAAACTACTACCATTTCTTGCCTAGAGCACTCCAGTAGCCTTCCAACTGTTTCCTGTTTCTTTTCTTTTTTCTTTTCCTTCCTTTTCTTTCTTTCTTTTTTTTTTCAGTACTAGGGATGAAACTCGAGACCTTGTGCTCACCAGGCAGGCACTTAAACTGCTGAGCTATCTCCCCAGCCCTCATCTTCCTATTTCTGTCTTTGCCTTCTCTAATCTGTTCTCAATGCAGAAGCCACAGGGATACACCGAACCGTTGGTCAGATCATCATTGCTTGGTTCAAATATTCTAGGGTTTCCATCACCATGTGACAACTAAAGCCCTTACAGTGGGCCAGCTAGCCCTCAGGGTATGACTCCGGCAAGGCAGGGAAGAATTTCATCTACCATCCTGTTCTTTTCTCTAATCCAACTTTGGCCTCCTGGACATGCCAGGCATATTTCTCTTTTTTTTTTTTTTTTTTGAGACAGAGTGTTGCTATGTACTTCAGCCTGATCTGGAACTTACTAGGTAGCCCAGCCTGACCTTGAACTCACTGTGGATCTTCTTGGTTTAGCCTCCTGCATGCTGGGATTATAGGCATGTACTCCCACATCCCACAACTTCTACCTTTGTATTCTCTGTGCCTCTGTCTGGAATATTCTTTTCTTCTGATACCTGTATGGCATGGCTTACTCTCTATCTCTTCTGGTCTCTGTTCTAGTGACACTTTTTGGTCACTGTTTTTGTAGCGTTCAACACTGAATCCAAGGCCTGTGTATGATAGGCAAGTGCTCTACTATAAAGCTACCTCAGTGGCATCTTCTGGGACAGGCATCCTATGTGACAAATACCCTATGTGACATGATAGCTTTTCTTCTCTGCCTCCTTCCCTGCAATCTGGCTCCAAAGAACTAATCATCAGCTACATATGCTTCTTTCTTTTATCTTGTGTGTCTTGCAATCTGCTGTCTTTTCTCATTTGTTTACTAACTCCACAATATGAATATTGAGGTAGCTGTTGAATGCTGTCTCTGGTGATCCTTGGCTCCACTCTGAGTAGAGACACAACTGCTTTCCCTTGTAGAAGAGAACAGTGTTCTTACTGATCACCGTATCACCAAAGGCCTAGTTCTAGGCGGGCAAGTCTGCCTTCCCAGTGGCCTTGCAGATGGGACAGACCTGAGTCTGTCGGGCCTTGGGCAGACAACAGGGGTCACCGTGAGAGTCCTAGGTCGGGAACAATTTCCCAAGTTTCTACAAACAAACCACCCAAAGAAAGAACCACAGGAACCATCGTGGCTTCACCCCAGATGACAACAGCCCCTTTCTCTTTCCAGGTCTGGCCTCAATCCTCCTAACTGGTGGAGCTTGGACAGCAGGCAGCGCTCCCTTGACAAGCCTGGCATACAGGGAACTTTGGAAGAAACCGTCTGCTCCCTAGCTTCTCCCCCTGTGCAACCTAGATGTGTGGCCATGTGGACTCTTTCCAGAGCATGGCCTGGCTGTACCTGGGAAGCCCCATGAGCTGCAGGTGCTGGCAGGCCACACTTGCTAAGTGGGACCAATGCCTGCACACTGTTTCAAAGCTCTGTGTGCATTTTTTTTGAGGGGGGGGCACTCAGGATGCCTTCAGAGCAGGTCTGGTTCTGTGTGCATTTTTAATAATTTAATTTCCATCTTTAAATGTCCCAGCCTTGATGCTGAGTATTAACTTTTTTTTTTTTCTTTGTGTACAGTCTTTATTTCAAATATTTGTCAAAGCACCATTAGTGCTCCTTAGGACACAGAAATGACTGCCCCCTACAGAAACAGGCTATGTACAGAACTTTACAGAACAGAGGCGACACTAGCTGTGGCCAGCTGCTAAGCAGAGAACGCAGCTTGAGGAGGGAAGAGAAGAGGAAGGGCCCCCATGAGTCAGCTTCAGCTGCCATCTGAGTGTATCTTGTGCTGGTCACAGACTGTAGGCTCTCATTTGGAGGTTTGGCTACAGTGTAGGAATTTCATCTCCCTATATGGCTACACTCCTGGCTGAGGCGCCATTAGATCAATGTCACTCAAGTTCCTGGCCAGCCAAACTCCTGCGGCGAAGAGTCCCAAATCGAGGATCAAGTTCCTCCGAAAGTCATTCCTATCGGTGGCAAAGCGGCAGACTCTGTGCAGCCAGTCTCCCACATTGTACGGAATTTTGGGAGTTTCATTTGCCGAGCTGGCAGTGCCTACCGGGACCTCGCTGGAAGCCATACCAGCACCTCCAACCTCCTTCCAGGCTTCATGCGACCTGAGCATTAACTTTTTTGAGTGGTTGGAGTGCTTTTCTTTTCCAAGTTCAATATAAGCA